GGGCACTCTGCTGGCTCATCTTCAGCTGCTGATGACCAACATCTCCAGGTGCCTCTCTGCCCAGCAGCTCTCCTCCCACTACTCCCCAAACCTGGAGTGTTCTGTGGGGTTGTTGTGACCCAAGTGCAGGACCCGGCACTTGGCCTTGTTGAACCTCATACAATATGGCCTTTCCCTCATCCACTAAGTGAGTCTCATTGTCATAGAAGGAGATCAGGTCAGTCAAGCAGGACCTGCCTTTCATTAACTTCCAGCCCTTCTCATAGATGGATGTCACATTTGCTAACCTCCAGTCCACAGGGACCTCCCCAGTTAGCCAGGACTGCTGATCAATGACAGAAAGTGGCTGGGTGAGCACCATCTGCCAGCTCCCTCAGTACCCTTGGGTGCATCCCATCCAGCCTTGTGCGTGTCCAAGTGGTGTAGCAGGTCACTAAGCATTTCCCCTTGGATTATGGGGGCTTCATTCTGCTCCCCATCCCTGCCTCCCAGCTCAGAACAACTGGTCTTGCTATGAAAGACTGAGGCAAAGAAGGCATCAGGACCTCAGCCTTTTCCTCATCCTTTGTCACTGTGTTTTCCCCCCATCACATAACGGATGGAGATTCTCCTTTTATTGCTGATGTATTTATAGAAACATTTTTAATTGTCTTTTATGGCAATAGCCAGATTAAGTTCTAGTTGGGCTTTGGCCCATCTCATTTTCTCCCTGCATAACCTCATGACACACTTGTAGTCCTCCATGTTTTCCAGCAGCACTTGTAGCATCTTTGCACACCTTCTTCCCTTGGTTTACACCGATGCTGGCAAGCCCTACGATGTTACCAGAGCTTTGCAGAACACACGTGTGTTTAAGTAATTAAAATAATTACTTCAGGGTTTAGGACAGTCTAACTTCCAAGCATGCTTCCAGTTTCTGCATAGCAGACAAATTTATCTCCTGTGAGTTTTCCAAGTTTCCAGGAAAACACTCGTTCATTGCCCTAAGTAATACCATTCACCTCTTTGTAATAAATTCTAATTATGATTTTTCCAACGAGCCTCTTTTAGTTCCGACCCACTGAAGAGCTTCTTAACATAGTTCTGAAGCTAAGTGTTGGAAAAAATCCAGGACTTTGTTTAACTGGACATCTTGTTGCTCTATTTCAGTTAACTAGAAATGGCAATGACACGACGAGTTGCTGGTTCAGGTTAGAGCACGAACTCTTGCCGTGAGAAAATAATTGGAAATTCCAGATAAGTCTGTAGGTTGATAAGAGCAGCAATGTGGTTTCTCTGACTCTGGCCTGGGTTTGGTGCCAGAACAGCTGGCTCCAGTTTTCTGCTCCCTCAGGTCTTTCTGTATGACGCTCAAACTCCCCTCAGGTTACCGGTGCTGAAAGGATCCCATATTTCATCTCCCTTGGCATCTGCGGCTGAGTTACCCCAGACTGCGGATGCCATTCCAGATTGCAGACTGAGCGTGCCCCGAGGGAAGAGGCAATCTTGTAGGCTCTGCACAGAGCTGTCTGGAAACCTCCAACTCTTGATTGCATGGAAGGAAATTAACTTCTATATAGGAGAGTCTGAGCTCTCAGATCCAGACATGAACCCCTCTCACTGTCCCCATGTTGTCCAAGGTCTCACCATGAGGCTACTGTAAATGTGACACTTAGGGACGTGGTTTAGAGGTGGATTTGGCAGTGCTGGGTTTACAATTGGACTCGATGATCTTAAAGGTCTTTTCCAACCAAAACAATTCTGTGATTCTATAATCCAGGCTCCAGAGTGGAATACATGGACTAGAAGGGAGATTTTGGAGCTCCGCTGATGAAAACCCAGGAGAAATGGGCTAAAGGGTTTTTTTGAGATCAGTAAGATTTTCTGCTGTATTTAACAGAGTTTGACCCTCCAGAAGAAGGCAGGTGTATTAGCTGTCAGCTGCCTCAGTGAACACAGCCCAAGTGTTTTCTCATTAGTTCCAGCCATTTTATTTTGCTCTTACCTCTGAGCACAGTGGATTCCCTCTGGAACTCCTCATGTGAGTTAGTAGCTTGGTTTGCATTGAACTAAAGTTTACAGGCACAACGGAGCTTCAACATGGAAAAACAGTCTGAAATTTTGATCTTAAGATAGATCAGAAAATTCTCCTTTTTTTTTTTAATGCAGTAATTCCCAGGGGTAGCTGGTAAGTGAGAGAACATGGGGTTGGAAGGTCCTAGCTCTCCACTGTGGACTTGACTAAAGCATGACATGATGTTACCTTTCCAGACCGACTTTATTCCCTCTCCCTTGTTAATATACACAATTGTGACATGAAAAATCCCCAGAGCACTTGGGTTCATTTCCCTGTCTTTCAGAAAGGACCTGGACCACAGCTATGGCACACAACAACTGCTACTGGAGCAGTGTCTGAGTGACTAACAGCACCTTATGGAGCATGACTGCTCCAAGCTTCAGCCACTGGCCAGGACTATACTGATAGAGACTAAAAAGTCAGACAAATTCAGACAAATTCAGAACACTCCTTCCAGCAACTCTGCTTAGCCTTTCTAGTTGATGTCCACCACTCTGGGGGCTGTGTCCATCTATTTCAAAGTCCACAAGTGGATTTCATTGAGTTATTCATATTTCATTCCTTTTGATGGAAGAAATTTTTATTTTACCTTATTGCTGCTTTGCTTTTTTTTTTTTTAAAAAAAAGGCTGTTTTTTAAAAAAAAAATGTTTTGGATTGTGTATTAGTTACAAAGACTGGGACTACCACATCTGCAGGAGGAGGAGTCATCAAGATAACTATCAATCTGATAGTGGAAAGGGCTTTCTTTAAGAAAGAACGTGTTGTCACATGTTGTAGACGGACTACAAGAAGAGGCTGATAGATCTGGGCTGGTTCAGTCAGGAGCTAAGAGAGGATTTAATGGCAGCCTACAACTACTTTGAAGGGGACTCATAAAGAGGAAGGACAGAGACAAACTCCTCATGGTGAGAGGCTGGAGATACAACAGGGACAGCAAGCACAAATCAGGGCTTGGTGAGGTCAGATTGGACATCTGCAAAAATGTCTTTGCAGAGACAGGCCACCCAGGGCACTGTTGTTTGGACTGTGCCAAGCACCATGTGTCAGTCTCTGCTGGGGCTGTCAGATGCTGTCACACTGGGGGTAGTAAACTTGTCTGGCTCAGAATGTCCTCTGAGCCAGGATATGGACTTTAGGTCCTGCATCTGGAATCACCTGCCATTGCCTTCTTGCAAAAATAAAAAGGGTGGTGCTGGGCAGGTTGGGATGTGAGCAAACACACTTAGAGAAAAAGAAACACAGAGGAATTTCCAAGCACCTGGAATCATCCCTCTCCCCTCAAGAATGAAGCTGAGTGCTTAACCCACAGATATCACACTAACCTTCACTTGTGGCCGTGCTAAATACTCCTAGAACTGAAGCATGGTGATAGGATGACAGCTCAGATGGAAATTCTCCTCTTAAATATCCTTCTGCTTCATCAATCGTGGCCAGCTTCAGAGGGCAGGAAACTCGACTCCTACGGAAAGGCAGAGAAACAACATGGGCTGCCTTCTTCTTCACTTTTGGGATGAAGAGATGAGGGCAACCTCAACCCAACAGCACCCCAACCCAATATGACAACAGTTACTCTTCATTAGAGACAAAAATCAGTCGCCTGGGAAGGAAGGACAATGCCTAGTCACAGAAAGGCATTGGAGCTGGTTATGGGGAAAGAGAGAACAGCCCTGGGGCAAACTGGTTGCTCTAAGATCCTTGGGTTCCCCATTAAAAATAACAGAGAAGGAATTCCAGCAAAGAGAAAGAGAGAGAGACAGTGACAACAGATGGATGCACTGTCCAAGAACAGATGTTCCTTGACATTGAAAAGCCCCCAAAGTTATTAAGCTAATTTCCAAACCAGGTCTACAATTAGATTGGACATTATTTTTCTCAAAAGGAGTTGCATCACATAGGTCATGAAGTATCCAGAACATCATCTAGCTGATGTAGCCATCCTCCTGCGTGGGGAATCATTAACAGATACTCACAGCATGATGAAGGTGGTCAGTTCTTCGGTTCCCCACATGCCATTGTATATCACTGATCTCTCTCCCTTCTCATAAATCTTGATGGTAGGAAACTGAGTGACATTCTCCTTTGTGCAAACACCAGGCCAGTCCCAGCAGTTTAGCCGAGAGAGTAAAACTCCCGGAGTTCCTAGAGTGGAAAACAAAATCATATAAATAATCATAGAATCATAGAATCATCGAATGGTTTGGGTTGGAAGGGACCTTAAAGATCATTCAGTTCCAACCCCCCTGCCATCAGCAGGGACACCTTCCACTAGACCAGGTTGCTCAAAAATAAAATAAAAAAAAAATAAAAAAATAAAATTTATTTGCCAAAATAAAATTAAAAAAAAAAAGAAATGGTTGAAAATGAGAGTTTTTTGGTGAGCTTCTTTGGATATTATCACATATCTTTGTATTAATGCTGCCAGAACTCCTATTTGCTTTGGCGTGCACCCTACAGTGCTGGATCCTAACACACTGTGTGCACATGGAGCGAGTCCAGGTGGGCTACTGCTGAGAAGTTGCTGGACCATTCCTGGAGTCAAATGCTGCTTTGTGTGGGCAGGATGTCAAAATCCAGCTCCGAATCCACAATCCCTTTGAGTACAGGCTATCTCCTTCTTGAAATCATTCATGGATACGCCTCATGCTTTCGGGCATAATAGTAACTGTTTCCAGCTTGTGATTGTATTAAATACCCCAGCAGGTGTGGATTGATCCAAACAACAGACCACGGAGAGAACAAACTCAAGGAAGTGGTTGGTTGCACTTCTCAGAAGGAAATTCCCAGAGACATTCACATCTGGTTGGTTACTCAAAGGAACACCATGAAACCCTGAGGCAACTGTCCAGGAGCGTAAAAGGCAGCAAGGAAAGGTACTGGAAATATCTTAGGAATAAGGCCAAGACAAAGAAAAGATGCAGGTCCTCACTTACAGGAAAGAGAGAAGATAAAGCTTGGCGTGGAGGAGGCTGATGCATTCAAGGCTTTTTCATTTATTAAGGTGCCCAGTATTGAAAAGTGTTTGTTCTACCTAAAGCCTGGAGCCCTATAGACAATGGGTAGTTAAAGGTCACATAAACATGACAGATGTGGCAGAGGTTGGCAGTCTGATGGTATTCACCCTGTCCTACCTGTGCAAGCTGCTCATCTCCAAGCCACTAGCCACCTTTAGGACCTGAACAAAGAGCCTGTGGTCTCACAGGTAAGGGAGAGCGAAAGAGAGAACACTTGGGAATTACGGAGCAGTCCATCCAACTTTGGTTCCTGGTATTAAAAAAGCTTTTTTATGGGTTTCACCAAAGTGATAAACTCAAAGGATCCATAAGCAGTGAAACAAGGGAAGGTTGGTTCCCTGCCTGCTCTCTGTGAGCCCAAGACACGACGCCTGCAGCTCCAGCATGTCCTTATCAGCCTTTCATCTGCAGGTTGGGCGATGACCAGTACACGCTGCTGTTGGTCCATGGCTAAGCCTGTGCTAACCAGCTGGCAGGTGAACCATCACCAGCTTCACTAACCACCACCCTTTGGTTGCCAGCCTTGCCTAACCTGCCTCCTGCCTACTTGCAGGCTTGACCAAGGACAGCAGGGCTGTGTAGAGTCCT